GAACTCCTGCTAGGTTGTGATGCCAACTCGCACCATGTAGCATGGGGGAGCACCGGCATTAACGGCAGGGGGGAAAGCCTCCAGGAATTCATAATGGGGGCCGGTCTAAACATCCTTAATAGGGGGTCAGAACCTACCTTCATAGATCGGAGACGACAGGAGGTCATAGATATCACTCTGGGGACGGATAGAGTGGCAGACATGATTGGGGACTGGAGGGTCTCAAAGGACCTCTCAGCGTCCGATCATCAAACCATAAGAATGTCCATCCACACAGTAAAAGAAGCGGAATTGGTAAGAAACCTAACACGAACAAACTGGGAAAATTACCCAGAAAGTCTATCTGACAATCTTAGGGATATCATCCTCAGATTTAAAAACAAAAAGCAGTTGGAGGAGGCTTCGATTGCCCTAAACCAGGCCATCATGGACTCCTTCGAGACAAACTGCAAGCTTATCCCGAAAGGGCAGCCCACTGAGACTCCTTGGTGGTCAGAGAGGCTCGGTGGGCTGAGGGGCAAAGCTAGAAAAGCTTTTAACAAAGCTAAGAACATGAGAGCGGGCCCCCGTAAGGAAGACGCATGGAAAACTTACAGAGGCTTGCTCGCAGATTACAACAAGGCAATAAAGGCAGCCAAAGAGGACTGCTGGAGGGCTTTCACAAGCAATGTGGAGAGTCAATCGGAGACCTCTAGGCTGGCAAAAATCCTTGGAACAAACAAGACTCCATATCTAGGGAGCCTACAGGCACCAGATGGCAGCTACACGGAAACCATGGGAGAGACTCTAAAATTCCTAATGAACACCCACTTTCCAGGCTTCATACAGGCCCAGGAGAGAGATAAAGAAACAATGCAAAATCAGAGGGATGTCTACGAAACCCATGATTGGGCATTGGCAAATAAAGTAGTGCAGCCCTGGGGGGTCAAGTGGGCCATCAAAACCTTTGAACCCTTCAAGGCACCGGGACCAGACGGGATCTACCCAGCCCTATTACAGGAAGGGATAGAGACTATCACGGGACCCCTAACCAAGATACTCAGAGCTAGTATAGCCCTGAAACATGTCCCTAGTGTGTGGAATGAGACTAGGATAGTATTCATTCCCAAGCCGGGAAAAACCGGTTATATAAAACCAAAAGACTTCCGTCCTATAAGCCTCACATCCTTCATCCTGAAGACCCTGGAGAGGCTGGTGGATAGACACATCAAGGCCCGGGCCCTTGGCTGATAGACCCCTCTCCCTCTGTCAATATGCATACAGGGAGGGAAGATCAACAGATACCGCCTTACATTACCTGGTGGGACTGATTGAGGGACAACTGGCGGTCAAGGGTTTTGCCATAGGCGCCTTTCTGGATATTGAGGGGGCTTTTGATAGCACTTCGAATCCGGCTATAGAAAAAGCCATGGAAGAACGACAGGTGTCCAAGACTATCATTGCTTGGACACAAAACATGCTGAAAAGCAGAAGACTGTCGGCAGGACATGGGAGGGCATGTGTGGAGGGACGTCCGACTAGGGGCTGTCCGCAGGGGGGAGTTCTCTCGCCCCTGCTATGGAACCTGGTTGTAGATGGACTTCTAAATCAACTAAGTGAGGCCGGCTTCCACATCACCGGTTTCGCCGATGATGTGGCAGTTATTGTGAGAGGCGGATTTCTGAGGGTGCTAAGGGACCTAATGGCAATAGCCTTCAATATCATTGAGGACTGGTGCAGGGAAACTGGCCTATCGGTAAATCCATCCAAGACCACAGTCCTGGTTTTCACCAGAAATTATAAACTGGAAAAGATCCAACATCTGAAGCTAAATCTCTCGGAGATAAACTACACCAGCAGAGTGAAATATCTGGGTGTCCTCCTGGATAATAAACTCAGCTGGAAAGAACATATCTGTACTCAGAGAAATAAAGTGTTTGCCTCTATGTGGGCATGCAGGAGAGCTGTGGGCAGGACATGGGGACTCAATCCTAAAATGATGCTCTGGCTCTACCAAATGGTTCTACTTCCGAGACTGTTATACGCTGCGGTCGTCTGGTGGCCGAGCGTGAGTAAGACGGAAACAAGGAACCTGTTGAAAAGCCTACAGGGAACTTTCCTGAGGGCTGCAATAGGAGCCATGAAATCGACACCTACTGAGGCGCTAGAAGTAGCACTCAGTATCCCACCCCTCGACCCTAGGGGTGTGAGTTGTACTACCACAACTCCATATAGACTAAGGTGTCAACAAGAATGGAAAATGACGGGCCAAGGCTATACAAGGCTTAGCCTAATCAATGATCGACCCTCCATAGGTAAGACGGACAGGATTCCTATGAAGTATCAGATCAGGAAAACTTTCAGAACGAGTATACCACCCAGACAGGAGTGGCTAGACTCGGAACTTAAACCAGGACCAAGAGAGGACTACTGGTTTACGGACGGCTCTGGCTTCAATGAAAGTTTTGGGGCAGGCATCTACCGTCTGAAAGATGGCTTCGGAGAGAGTTTTCCGCTGGGCCATCATTCAACCGTCTTTCAAGCAGAGATGCTGGGCATACTTAAGTGTGCAGAGTATCTGAATGCGAGAGACACAACAAAGATGAAAATATTCATCTGTAGCGACAGCCAGGCGGCGATTCACGCCCTGGAAAAACCCACTACAGAGTCACAGGTGGTGTGGGAATGCATGCAGGCATTGGACACACTGGGTAAAAACAACCAGGTCACCGTAACCTGGGTACCAGGTCACCATGGGATTCTGGGTAATGAAGAGGTAGATAAGCTGGCCAAGGAGGGTACAGAAAGGGTGTCCTCACACGGCCTGCTTGGCATGCCCTTCGCAGTGGGAAAAACTCTTATTAAAGATCATTTCCAGCGAGATCATGTCAGGCGTTGGGAGAAAGTTGCGACCTGCAGACAAGCGAAACTGCTTATGAGGGGGCAACTAAGAGTTAGAACCAGAAAGCTTCTGGAGCTGCACAGAGGGGATCTGAGGGTAGCAGTAGGGCTCCTTACGGGTCATACAGGTCTCAGAGCTCATCTGTTCAAGATGAAACTTGCAGAACAAGAAGACTGCAGACTGTGCGGAGGCGATAAGGAGGGCGGCATTTATATTTTATGTGAATGCCCCCTATTAGCACTCTG